GGCCACAAGTGACAGCTCTAGTTTCGATGGCAAGGACCCGCACCCACAGCAAAGTGGCCCATCCGTTTTTGACATTTATAGCACCCAAAGGAATGTAAATAATCTCAATGCGACGAAGGGGGGGGGGGGGTGTAATAGTAGAATGCTGCGTCTGGTTCACTCGAAACGAGGCCACCGTGGGTCGGGGTCCTTGGTCCAAATGCGGCCAACATTGGAAACATTTGTACCTGCAAAATGACTCATAATCAACGTTTTTGGGTTTAGATCGCGTTATTTATAAATGTGTCGTAACCCTCCACCACCCGACACGGCCAATCAGTAAAAAAGTGTCACGTTGACAAAAGACAAATAGTTCACTGCTTTAGCCCACCGGTGTGTTGAAGCGTGCAACCACAACATTTTCAATTTGAGTAGTACGACGTTTCGCTGGTAATTGCATCCAGCATCATCGGGCAATTCGCCAGATGGGGGGGCTAAAGCAGTGAACTATTTGTCTTTTGTCAACGTGACACTTTTTTACTGATTGGCCGTGTCGGGTGGTGGAGGGTTACGACACATTTATAAATAACGCGATCTAAACCCAAAAACGTTGATTATGAATAATATTGGTCGCGAAAGCCTGCTACGTGTCAAATGACTCACTTGGGATTCGGCACGGCAACATCACAGCAAACTACTGCGCACTTTGATGTGAAAACAGGGCGGAGCTGTGCACAGTAGCATTGGCCAAACATCACAATGCAGGTTTGCATGTATTCTAGATTTGAAGCTTTCGTGACTGCAAGGATTCATATTCTTAGGTTAATAAAAAGTGTGCCGTACTTGGCCCTTCCCCTCTCCAACCATTATATAAACGGAGTGGTAGCTCTTGCAATCTCTCATTTACTTGATACAGCTGTCGTGGCTGCGACGGTTCCACCTGAAGACGGAAGCTTGTGTTGCCTCCGAAACGTCGTGATTTTTGTTTTATTTTACTTTTATTATTTTTAATGTTTTACCTACGTAACTTTACCGAAAAACCTAAGAATAGGTTTGCATATCTCTGGATTTTTCTCCGGGTGCTCCAGTTTTCCCCTCCGCATTCAGAATCAACACCACTCGTTGAGAGAATGTGGCTGCTATAGATGTCCACGTGATGATGACGGCAAACTACGGCGCACTTGGCTGTGAAAACATGGCTCTTCGGTGAGGCGTTAACATATTTTTTGAGAAGCGACCTGGCCACAAATGACAGCTAGTTGGGATTCCAACGACCCACAACTAACAACAGACTTACAGGTGGGCTGCAGAGAAGTCCGGCCAGTAGCCAGTCAGAAAACCCGAGGCTTTGATGTTGTCATATATATAGAAATAGCAATGCGATGGGCGTATGCCTCCGATTCTATTTTAAGAGTTCCAGCTCACACACACAAGAGTTGGGCGATGCGATACGCCCAGGGGGCACGGAAACGAAGCTACGATCCTTCACACATTCACTTCAACATTCCGAAACGAAACATTCTGGTGGCGACACGGCGGGGTTTCTTGTCGCAGGAATGTGGAATTTCCACCGCCGGCTTGGCGTTTGGAACAACGAGAACAACACGAGCGCATTCCCGAAGTATGGGGGAGACTGGCAAGATCTCCGTTCTACTCTTGCATATGGTGGCAGCAGCAGCAGCAACAGCAAAATGTTCATGAGCTCAATGCCGATATCGAGATCCGCAGCTGCTAGCCACGACGAGACGGTTTCAGCAGAGAGAGAGAGTTCGTGTCGTGTCGCTCCTCCGTTGCAGGAGCACAGACCACCACAGCGGTTACATTTCGATTGAAATCTTTCGTGACTGCAATGATTCATATTCTTGGTTCTTTCGGTAAAGTCACGTAGAAGGGAAATGATAAAATAATAAAAATATTTAAAAAAAAATTCTCACGACGTTTCGACTGCAACACAAGCAATCATCATCCACATATTTCACACCTGACGATGCTTGCTTGTGTTGCAGTCGAAACGTCGTGAGAATTTTTTATTGTTTTATATTTTTATTATTTTATTATTTCCCTTCTACGTGACTTTACCGAAAGCACCAAAGAGCAGAGTGTGGCTCCGCTCTATAATTGTCCACATTTATCAAGGAGGAGTGCGCTCACGGCCCGCTGTTGACGTCCCGATGATGCGGATGATGGTCACACCACCACCGGCAGTGTCTACGAGGAGGAGGAATGTCCATGCGAGAATGTTTGGAGGGTCTCCATCGAGGCGTTATATTATTTCGTGCGCCCGCGTTGTTCCACCCCCTTTGTCGGCACATCGTTCTTCCAGATCATGTCCACGATTCGTTAAAAAGGAGACGGCGCCATCGCCGAAGGATGGACTTCGCTTGTTTTTTCGATGCTCGCTCAACCTTGTTGACGCCGGGGACACTTTCCGGCTGCCCCCCCAATATACTCCGGTGGTGATGGTAACAATTAATTCTCCGACGCACGGTTGGACGCGTGCGGTCGAGAGCGCGAGAGTCAACTTTGCTCGATGGCGACGATGATGAGTCGACGACGACGACGACGAGAATGAGTCGATGATGTCATTTGTCTTCTTCCTCCCAGGTGCGAGCCGCACACTGCACGTGGCGGAACTTGGCCGCCGCTGCCCTCCTCATCTCCATCTACCCCTGGGCCCTGCTCATCTCCATCTACCCCTGGGCCCTGCTCATCTCCATCTACCCCTGGGCCCTGCTCATCCCCATCTACCCCTGGGCCCTGCTCATCTCCATCTACCCCTGGGCCCTGCTCATCTCCATCTACCCCTGGGCCCTGCTCATCTCCATCTACCCCTGGGCCCTGCTCATCCCCATCTACCCCTGGGCCCCTGCTCATCCCCATCTACCCCTGGGCCCTGCTCATCTCCCGTCTACCCCTGGGCTCCTCCTCATCCCCATCTACCCCTGGGCCCTGCTCATCCCCATCTACCCCTGGGCCCTGCTCATCTCCATCTACCCCTGGGCCCTCCTCATCCCCATCTACCCCTGGGCCCTGCTCATCTCCATCTACCCCTGGGCCCTGCTCATCTCCATCTACCCCTGGGCCCTGCTCATCCCCATCTACCCCTGGGCCCTGCTCATCTCCATCTACCCCTGGGCCCTGCTCATCCCCATCTACCCCTGGGCCCTGCTCATCTCCATCTACCCCTGGGCCCTGCTCATCCCCATCTACCCCTGGGCCCCTGCTCATCCCCATCTACCCCTGGGCCCTGCTCATCTCCCGTCTACCCCTGGGCTCCTCCTCATCCCCATCTACCCCTGGGCCCTGCTCATCCCCATCTACCCCTGGGCCCTGCTCATCTCCATCTACCCCTGGGCCCTCCTCATCCCCATCTACCCCTGGGCCCTGCTCATCTCCATCTACCCCTGGGCCCTCCTCATCCCCATCTACCCCTGGGCCCTGCTCATCTCCCATCTACCCCTGGGCCCTGCTCATCTCCATCTACCCCTGGGCCCTGCTCATCTCCATCTACCCCTGGGCCCTGCTCATCTCCATCTACCCCTGCGCCCTGCTCATCTCCATCTACCCCTGGGCCCTCCTCATCCCCATCTACCCCTGGGCCCCTCCTCATCTCCATCTACCCCTGGGCCCTGCTCATCTCCATCTACCCCTGGGCCCCTCCTCATCTCCATCTACCCCTGGGCCCCTCCTCATCTCCATCTACCCCTGGGCCCTGCTCATCCCCATCTACCCCTGGGCCCTCCTCATCCCCATCTACCCCTGGGCCCTGCTCATCTCCATCTACCCCTGGGCCCTGCTCATCTCCATCTACCCCTGGGCCCTGCTCATCTCCATCTACCCCTGGGCCCTGCTCATCCCCATCTACCCCTGGGCCCTGCTCATCTCCATCTACCCCTGGGCCCTGCTCATCCCCATCTACCCCTGGGCCCTGTTCATCTCCCATCTACCCCTGGGCCCTGCTCATCTCCATCTACCCCTGGGCCCTGCTCATCTCCCATCTACCCCTGGGCTCCTCCTCATCTCCATCTACCCCTGGGCCCTCCTCATCCCCATCTACCCCTGGGCCCTCCTCATCTCCATCTACCCCTGGGCCCTGCTCATCCCCATCTACCCCTGGGCCCTCCTCATCTCCATCTACCCCTGGGCCCTCCTCATCCCCATCTACCCCTGGGCCCTCCTCATCTCCATCTACCCCTGGGCCCTGCTCATCCCCATCTACCCCTGGGCCCTGCTCATCTCCATCTACCCCTGGGCCCTGCTCATCTCCATCTACCCCTGGGCCCTGCTCATCTCCATCTACCCCTGGGCCCTCCTCATCCCCATCTACCCCTGGGCCCTGCTCATCTCCCATCTACCCCTGGGCCCCTCCTCATCTCCATCTACCCCTGGGCCCTCCTCATCCCCATCTACCCCTGGGCCCTGCTCATCTCCATCTACCCCTGGGCCCTGCTCATCCCCATCTACCCCTGGGCCCTCCTCATCCCCATCTACCCCTGGGCCCTGCTCATCTCCCATCTACCCCTGGGCTCCTCCTCATCTCCATCTACCCCTGGGCCCTCCTCATCCCCATCTACCCCTGGGCCCTCCTCATCTCCATCTACCCCTGGGCCCTGCTCATCCCCATCTACCCCTGGGCCCTCCTCATCTCCATCTACCCCTGGGCCCTCCTCATCCCCATCTACCCCTGGGCCCTCCTCATCTCCATCTACCCCTGGGCCCTGCTCATCCCCATCTACCCCTGGGCCCTGCTCATCTCCATCTACCCCTGGGCCCTCCTCATCTCCATCTACCCCTGGGCCCTGCTCATCTCCATCTACCCCTGGGCCCTCCTCATCCCCATCTACCCCTGGGCCCTGCTCATCTCCATCTACACCTGGGCCCTGCTCATCTCCCGTCTACCCCTGGGCCCTGCTCATCTCCCGTCTACCCCTGGGCCCTGCTCATCTCCATCTACCCCTGGGCCCTGGTCATCTCCCATCTACCCCTGGGCCCTGCTCATCTCCATCTACCCCTGGGCCCTGCTCATCTCCGTCTACCCCTGGGCCCTGCTCATCTCCATCTACCCCTGGGCCCTCCTCATCCCCATCTACCCCTGGGCCCTGCTCATCTCCCATCTACCCCTGGGCCCTGCTCATCTCCCGTCTACCCCTGGGCCCTGCTCATCTCCCGTCTACCCCTGGGCTCCACGATGGGCAACACAGAGGCGAAGCCGGAAGAGGATGTGCAGGAGCAGCCGCCGGGCATCGTTCTCAACTCGTACCAGCACAACGAGAACCGCAAGCATCTGGTCAGATGCTCGCCGTCACCACTGTCATCATCAACATGCATCATTATCATCATCACCGTGATCATCACCACCACCACCACCACCACTGTGATCATCATTATCACCACCGTCACCACTGTCATCATCAACATGCATCACCACCACCACCACGATCATCAACATCATTACCACCACTATCATCATCACCACCACCATCGCCACTATTATCAAGATCATCACCACCACCACCAGGATCATCATCATCATCACCACCCCACCATCATCACTACCAACAACAACCGCCATTTGCCACTAAGTGGCAGTGACGTCACCACGACGCTTGTGCCAGGCCATGTGCACCTTGAGGCCACGTGAAGTGTCGAATGCCCGCTGGCAGGAGGTCACGGGGCAGACCCAGCAGGTGCCACGAGTCGACTGATTGAGAAGACCGAGATGACTGGCTGATGCACCACCTGTGCCCCCTACTGTACCAACTTGCTGTGCTTTAGCCACCCGGTGCTCCGCTCGTTGTTGTGAGCGTCACTCCTCCGCCCTCTGTTGTTGTTGGAGGGCGACTGCCTCCAACTGCCCAGTAGCGTCCTTCACGAGCCTCCTCCACAAAGGCCGATCGTGACACCGCTGGTACCAGTCATCGGCATGTCCACTCAGCTCCACGTCCTCCTGTACCACATCACTCCATCTCTTCTCTAGCCCGTGCCGCGCCCGTTTAGTGCCCTCGATCTGGCCGAACAAAAGCTGTTTAGGCATGCGGTGGCTGGGCATGCGGGCTACATGGCCCAGCCAACGCAGCCTTGCCTGCCGGAGTAGCTCACTGATGGTACTTTGTCCAGATCTTTCAGGGATTTGTGAGCTCCTCAGACAATCCAGCCTGGTGTTGTATGTGTCGGAATTATGAAATTTTGATGAAAATAATAAATATTAATAATTTTCCGAAAAATGCGCAAATCGCATTAATTATGATAGTGTGTGTATTAATATGCATAAATTATGATAATGCGTGTGATTATATGCATAAATTATGATAATCGTAGTAATTTATGCGGAGGCTTGCGATTATGTTAATGTGTGCAGTTATGATAATTTGCTTAGTTTCGTTTATCCAGAGTTATCAATCAGGATAACACGATTATCGTCGATTAAACATTTACTGATTATCTTAGTGTGTTTATATTATTTGAATTCTCCAGGTTCAGATCTCATCACAGGATACAGTTGTCAAGAATAAGACAGTTTTGCATGGACTTGGAAGGAACACTCGATATGCTTCTGGATTACAATTTTATTCTAACAAGCACGTGACATTCTATCATGCAGGTCAAACATGCGTCAATAATTCATGGGCAAGATTATGCAATTAACTAATATGAACGACAAAAACTTATGCAGTTGTGACATTATGCAATTATGCAATATGAATAACGAAAACTCTTATGCATTTGACTAAAATGAATGAATAAACACTTATGCATTTAGCTAAATTGAATAACTAAAAATTCTTATGCATTTGCGATATTATGCATTAACTAATATGAATAACCAAAACTCTTATGCAATTACGAGATTATGCATTTGACTAAAATGAATGAATAAACACTTATGCATTTGCGAGACTATGTATTTAGCTAAATTGAATAACTAAAATTCTTATGCATTTGCGATATTATGCACTAACTAATATGAATAACCAAACTCTTATGCATTTGACTAAAATGAATGAATAAACACTTATGCATTTAACGAACTGAATGACTAAAAACACTTCTATCAATTGTACCCTCTACTTTTCCTACCAGGCATCATTAGTTCGCCCATGTATTGATCACAATCGGCGACTGGTCGAGTTTGAAAACAAGCATGACACACTTCATATGGCGGTAATAAAAAGCACTTATTGTATCCCAGAGGCGAAAGTATATGTCAATAGATTCATCGGCAAGTCTAAAATCCTTTTTAACGGAATGTTTGATACAATGGTGGGTGAGGGCGTGTGGGCGCGAGAGCGAATCTGGCTCTGTTTTAATTAACTCTTCGGCGAGATTCTGAGACAAAGGAAACTGGTTTGACAAGATTTCTCTGTGTTTTCTTGAGTCTGTATGTGGGGAGCGATACGACCTCTGTTGTTTGTGCGAGCGGCAGCTGAGACTTTCTCCGCTGTGAGGTGAGCGGCGGCGCTCGTTCAGAAGACTTTGACTCTTTTTCTCCACGGCGGGATGACGAGTCGGTTTGGGTTGATGCTGGTCGATCTGGGTGTCGCTCGTTGTCGCTCGGTGTCGCACGGTGGCGCACGGTGGCGCACGTTCAGCGCAAAGTGGTGCACGGTGGCGCACGGTGGCGCAAGGTGGCGCAAGTTGGCGCTCGTTCAGCGATCTCCGCCTTTCCTGCGGGTTGTTCGCTGGTCGTCACTCTGACGAGGAGCGATGCTTCGTTCGTGGCAGGGTGGACGTTGGCGTCTTTGTTGGCTTCACTCGCAGCTCTGCGACTCAGGGTAGCGATTCTTCTCAGGTGGTGCAGACCTCGGCTTGTAGCTACGCGTCGCTACTCCGCGACCCTCGTCATTCTCAATGATGAAAACTTCTTGACGATCTGTGGTGGAGCCGAAGATGGGCTCGTGGCCCGGATGATCTCTGGTGGAGCTCGTGGCCCGGACGATCTCTGTGATGGGGGCCAGAGCCCCTGACGATCTGTGATGGAGGCCAGAGCCCCTGTCGATCTGTGATGGAGGCCAGAGCCCCTGTCGATCTGTGATGGAGGCCAGAGCCCCTGTCGATCTGTGATGGAGGCCAGAGCCCCTGTCGATCTGTGATGGAGGCCAGAGCCCCTGTCGATCTGAGTTGTATGGATTTTCCTTCGGTTTATATCGGAAACTTCCACTCGGCTTCCCGAGTTGTTCAAAGGCTGTGTCATAAAACCTTCCTGTGGGCTGAACCATCTGCGTCCGTGTGTGTGTCCGTCCGTGTGTTTCGCGTGCGTGTTTGTCCGTGTTGTGGGGAGACAAAGGCGGTTGTTTCCACGGTGGGAGCACCCGGCGCATGCGCTTATTTATTCGAAGACGTGTTTATTTCCTTTGAGCCATTGCCCCCTTTATGGGTGTCATTTCCTAGCTTGGTGCCTGTGTGTGGAGATCCTCTCGGAAAGACAAAGGCGGCCGTGTTGCTCGCTTCCCATGGGTGTTGTGTTTGGTTAATTTTGAGAGCCTTCTCCGCCCTTGATTCCTCTTCTACTTTAATTCCGTACTTATTATTTGACTTCTTGTGATTATTTAATCTGATATCCCGGCTTATCTTTGTTCAGAATATAATTATCTCTTCCTCCGTGTCTCCTGGTTCTGCAACCCCCCGCCTGCAATTCCCCCCCTCCCTTGTTCCTCTTGTGTGAATTTAGGGGAGTTTTTTTTTTTTATTACCTTATTGCCCCCCCTGTCATGTCCTCTTTCCTTTGAAATGAGGTATGCGCGCATCTGTGGAAGTGTGGGGGCCTCTGTGGAAGTGTGGGGGCGTGTTCGTTCCCACGTGGCCCCGTGTCTATTAAAAAAACAATATTATATATGATGGCAGAATAAGCCTTAAAAAAAAAATAATATTAAAAAAAAAATAAAAAGGGGGTACATACACAACAGTCCGCCCGTTTGAAAATTATCAGGGGTCGATTTGGCCACTGGCGAATTTTCAAACAAAGTAATGCCCCCTTTTTATGTCATGAATCCCATCAGCCGCCCTTACTCTCGGCGGTTATTTCTTACGACGCGCGTGCACGTATTACCATCTTAACCTGGTTACATCTGAAATAAGCAAAGAAAATAAACAACACGTTAACATCGATATTGCGTTACATCGGTTCTCATACATCATAACTGACGAACATTCATTTTTGTTTTGTTAAATCCTGGGAAACGCTAGGTAGCGGTTTCGAACGCATTTATGCGTTACCTTCCTCATGTTGCCTGGTTTACCACTTATCACTTTGATAATTTGATCACGGTTTTCGGGTTCGTTTTTGTAGTTTCCTCTCTCACTCTCTCGCGTCGTGGGAGTGTGTGGTGAAAAATTGTGCTGCACGTAACCAGAATTCGCGCACACGACCCATTTTGACACTTGGTTCGTGGCATTCGCTCTCTCTGCGATTACATGCACATTTGCCGAGTCAGTGTGTCGACTTAATTCCGTGCCTCGTAATGTTGCCCTCTTTGTTTTTACGAGTGTGTTAGATTCCAACACCATTCCTGATATGTCATGAACATTCGTCTCCATTTTAGCACTCCGATCCACATACATTTTGGTTTCCCTTGGATATTTTCCATTCAAAGGCTCACGCCTGCGCTCCTCAGGGCGTGTCTCTGTGTTCTCTCTTTGTCTCTGCTGTCTGCTATCCACCGTCCGATCACACTTCAATTCAGCCCTGTCACTTGCAGCCTGCTCAGGGTTTAACACCTCGGCGGGTGGGGCGCGTGTTGGCCGCTCGCTCGCACTCACTGTGGATGGTTCATCACGTATTTGGACCGCATTCTGTGTTATTCCTCTATTCCCTCTTGGTATAGCCGGTGGAAGAATTGGTCGGAATTGGATCGATTGTGTTTGACCTCCCATCCTGCGATTCTCCTGAATGTTCGCATCCATACCTCCGCGGTCTGTGTAACACCTTCCCGCTAGGTGGTTATCTTGCCATCTCTGTGCGTAATTTGAACCTTGCGTGTGTCGTGGGATGGGGTGTTGATATGGTTCTGCTCTGAACCTCTCCCTCCTGCGATTCTCGTACATTTTTGGCCAAGTATTTCTCCCATTTGGGTGCCACATTTTTCCTGGATTGTTACCTCGCCATCTTTGTGGGTAATTTTGATCTTGTGTGTGTCGTGGCATGGGGTGTTGATATGGTTCTGTTCTGAACCTCTCCCTCCTGCGATTCTCCTGAATGTTCGGCTTTGTGCCGCTCTCATTCTCGTGCCAACCTCTCTCTGGGTTATTTTGCCATGTGTGCGTGCGTTTCTGCTCCGTCCTGCATGGTGG